CCAGAATGTCTCTAATATCGTGTCAAAACATTTTAAGCGACCATTTATTCAATTATATCGATGTTATAATCAATTATTTCTATGTTTTGTCTGTAAAATATGTTTATTACAAAATAGTATATATTGTGAAATGTATGACAACTTGAATTATATGAATGTTTAATTGTGTGAAATATATACAAATTGTGAGTTTTATTGTGAAATGAATGCTTGAAATGGAGTGAAAACTAATTTCGATAAGTTATTGGAGATGAGAGACAGGAAAAGTGTAACAAAGGGTCGGACAAGCGTTGGCTCGTATAGTGTACTCAACGACAAAATGTAGTTTTTATAGTGAAGTGATTGAATGAAGAAGTATTTGTGTTCTATTGAGAATGAAATGACTCTGAAATGCAATACTATTAATATTACAGTCAAACTTCTATGCGGTCAACCATGTATGTTATGAACCAAAATTCCACCGAATAATACCCCATAGACTTATGGTTAAAATAATCTCTATGCTGTCAACTTCTATATTTTCAATTAAATATGAAATATTGAATAATCTATGTTATAACAATCATTTATTGCAATTCACCTTGTGAATACAAGCAGTAATACAGACTTATTGTTTTGTTTACTAGCTAAGTTTGTTTTATACCTTATTAAATATTTAATTTTTCACTACATTTCTCTTAAGTCAAATCCTATCATATTTTATCAACTAATACAAAGATTTCTTAAAATTGTGTGTAATTTTGAACCAATAAATGAATTTGTAAATTAGTTTGGATGCTGTCAACTAATGTATGTTATGAACCGTATTGTTGATGGCATAGAAGTGTGACTGTACTGTACATACAGTGTAAGCAGCGATGGTTGAGTGTTGAGGACGTAATGCATGTTTGGATGGGAATGGATGTGAAGGTTGTGAGGCATAGAATGCATTGAAATACACGCAAACAATCAGCGAAACACCGAAAATACAAACCATAACTAAAACATCAAAACATTTGATTATAGCATTGGAATTGAAATCTCATTTTCAATACATATTGTGTTTATTTAATTAATAAGCGATTTATTAAATAATAAACTCTTGTATTAATCGCTTGTCAACGATATTACAGCTTATGGTTTGCCTTTCAATGCAATCATTTGTATCGATGTTTTCAATCAATTATTAATAGATTTGTATTTTATTTATTAATTATAAATATTTTTGTCTTTTAATTCAATTTGGTTTGGATTTGATGTGTGTTTTAGTATTGATTTGAATGTGATTTTAAATACATTATTATAATTATTGTAATAATTAAACATTTGAAACAACATTTGTGTGAATTGACTGATAACTGGATTTTGAAATGGTTTGGATTTGATGTGTGTTTTAGTATTGATTTGAATGTGATTTTAAATACATTATTATAATTATTGTAATAATTAAACATTTGAAACAACATTTGTGTGAATTGACTGATAACTCCTAAAACTTTATTGTTGAGTAAACAACAAAAGTCACTACTAACTTTACTACAAATGAAACTGACGTTAATGACACTCTAATTTTAGTCGGTTTAGAAGCCAAGTAGAGTAATAGTTACCTATCATTATATCGTTATATTAATTATAACCCAAATCACAGTTTATATACAATTACTCATTATTATTGTCAATACATCTTCAATACAACATTAATAGTGTAATAATTAAGTGATTTAATAATTATTATAATTATTATTAGTATTGTTTCATAAAATTGAATCAAATATTTGTTCAATTTTAGTATAAAATTAATTTTTAATTGTTATTTGTGTTTAGTTTTGGATTTAGTTTTCATATATATATTTGAGAGTCATTTCAATATTGCATTTATTGAAAGCAAACTATGATTTAATCAAATTATTAATACATTTAGTATTTATTGATTTATAAACAATTGCATAACAAATAACACAATTTATATATCACTTGAAAATATAATATTAAAAAGTTTGACATCAAGTGGTGTGACGTGAAGACAATGGCCGACAATAGAGCCAATGATAACGACTCGAAGGCCGAAGGAGTGGACGACTCGGAAGAAGAGAATGAGATTCTGGAAGAGAGTCCGTGCGGTCGTTGGCTCAAGAGGAAGGAAGAAGTGGGTCTAATGCCGTGTTTACATTGTATTCAAGTGTGTCTTATTTGAATGAATTGCTCCACAGGTCGAACAGCGAGATATCCCTGGAATAGACGCCACATATCTGGCGATGGATACGGAGGAAGGGGTGGAAGTGGTCTGGAATGAGGTTCGCTTCTCAGAGAGGAAGTACTTCAAGGCTAAAGAGGATAAAATCAACGAAGTGTTTGACCGACTCATCCAATTAGAGCACCCGAACATTGTTAAGCTCCACAAGTATTGGCTCCACAAAGACATTGAAAAACCCAGAGTTATCTTTATTACTGAGTATATGTCCAGCGGATCACTCAAACAGTTGACCGACTCATCCAATTAGAGCACCCGAACATTGTTAAGCTCCACAAGTATTGGCTCCACAAAGACATTGAAAAACCCAGAGTTATCTTTATTACTGAGTATATGTCCAGCGGATCACTCAAACAGTTCCTCAGAAGGACTAAACGGAGTTTAATTAAAATGGCTTTAAATGTAAGATCAATATATTGTCTAATATACAGTCAAATATCTATTCTGTCAACTATCTATGCTGTCAACTACTTTATGTTATCAACCAAATCCCAAATACCCACCCCATAGATCTCATGTTAAAATTATTTGTATGTTGTCAACTTGTCTATTATCAACTAAATGCGAAGAACCATTGTGTTGATAGCATAGATATATGACAGTAATGGTTAACATTTGATAAAATGTGTAAATGTTGTGAATTGAATGCAGGCGTGGAGGCGATGGTGCACTCAGACCCTATCGGCGCTGTGCTATTTGCATACATCACAGCCACCTATAGTTCACGCGAATCTGAACTGCGATACGATATTCATTAGTTATAACGGTCTCATCAAAATAGGAGCCGTCGCTCCGGACGCCATTCACAAACACGTGAAGACAGTTCGCGGCGAATCTAAAATGAACCTCCATTTCATTGCACCCGAAATCGGATGCATTACAGACACGAATAGCTCTGTTCTGTCGCCAGCAGTGGATATCTATTCGTTCGGAATGTGTGCCTTAGAAATGGCCGCTTTGGAGATCTCGGCCAACGGAGACAGCGCTACCGTCACTGAAGAAGTCATTAACAGTACGATTGAAAGTCTGGAGAATAAGCATCAAAAAGATTTCATCACTCGATGTCTGTATAAGGATCCGAAGCTGAGGCCCACAGCGAGGGAACTGTTGTTTCATCCGATTATCTTTGAAGTGCCGTCTCTGCGGTTGTTTGCGGCGCATGTGATTGTGAACACGCCTTCCTATCTGCCGGAACAGCTGACCGAAGAGGCCATCGCTCGAGTACTGTGTTTGCAGAATAACAGCGACAGAGTGTTGGCCGAAGTGCGACACGACGACAGCAGTCGACCCAATGTTCTGCTCAAACAAAGCGATTCCCCGAAAATGGAATTCGAGAAGTTCTTCGAAGAGGTGCGGAACGGCTCGTGTCCTTTGACTGCAATCGTCACCACAATTCGTCCGCCACTTATCTGTCGTCAGCGAACAATGTCTCCCGAAATGTCGAGTGAGTCAACCAAACAACTCAATTCGCCCGACAATCCATACGACGAAGAAAGTCGAAGAATCCATACCATAAACTCTACTCTCGAACCTCTTCAAGAGGCCAGTGATAAACGATTAGTGATATCTCTTCACATTGTCTTCGATGACAAGATTAATAGAAAATTGTCCACAAAATTGGATTTTAATGAATTAGAACCGTCTTCTTTAGCTCAAGAATTAGTTTTTTATGGATTTGTTAATAAGGTTTGTCTCGTTTTGACCACTCTTTAAGCGCGTGTTTGTAATTATTTGTCATTTGTTTATAAATACATTGCTTTGCATTTACAGGAAGACAAAAATACTGTCTTCGAGTTATTGTCTGAAACGAAGGACACGTTCGCCACGTCTGGCAATCAGTCAACAAGTTGTCAAAAGACCATTCAATTACCACAACCGCAGCCACAGCTGTCTAAACCAGTTATGATTCAATCGATTCAACAACCGATTCAATCGCAACAAACAAAACAGCAAAACGTTGCGCACAATATCCCAGCGGCGGTGACGCCAACTAATCAGCAATCGATACAACAAATTCCTGTAGTAATTCCACAGCAGAAGAAGTCTATTCAGCATCAGATTGCGCCCCAAATTCAACAAAATCCAACTCTCAATCCACAGCAAAGTTCTCAAACGGTTCCGCAACAATCTGTAGCGCAGACCCAAACCACACCACAACAGACACAACCCTCTCGACCCGTAGTAATTCAACAGCCGATTCAATTACAACAACCAAAACAGCAAAACGTTGCACACAATATACCAGCGGTGGTGACGCCAACTAATCAGCAATCGATACAACCAATTGCTGTATCGGTTCCACAGAAGAAGACATCGATTCAACAGCAAAATGTGCCACAATTGCAACAAAATCAAGTTCAGAACCCTCAGCAAAGTTGTCAAACGGTTCCGCAGCAATCTGTAGCACAGACTCAGACAACACCACAGCAGTCAAAGCAAGAAGTGGTTCGACAACAAGTACCACAACAGACACCGCAACAGACACTAAAGCAAACACCACAACAAACATCACAACAAACACCACAACAGACACCACAACAACCAACACAAGTAACGAAAACAGCGGTTCAGTCGACGACACTTCAAGACGATAAGAAGTCAACGATTAAGAATCAAAAGCCTGTTGTATAGCAATGGATGTCTGATATGATGTGCCAAATGAACGAGTGTTTGATTTTCCTATACATACAGTCGGATATATTTCTAATATGCAGTACTTTTTTGAATATAAAAACAATTGATATGTGCCTCAAAATCTTTACCACAAGAAAGTCATACAAAACGGTGACTTTTTTGTCGCATAATTTGTAACGATTATCGCATAATTTTTATGATTATTTTTAACTCAAAAAAGGACCCATTCTTTTGAAGAGAGGAAAAAAGTTGCTAAAGATTTTTGAATAAAATGTTTGGCAAAACTTTTTATTAGTTGAAATGCAAACCAATTTCTCAAATGAATTAGGATTTGTTTATTTGTAAGTCTATTGTGTTTATCGCTTTCAGACACTACATAAAGAGTAATAATTTGTATTTTTTAATTTCAATGTTTTGTTCATAAAAAAATTTATTAATATTAAGGGATTGAATCGAGCATTGAATTAGAGTCGGATTTTTGCTTAATTTAAACGAAACATCAAAAAGTAATGATTATTATTAATTATATGTTTTTATCATTAAATGATTTTCAAATTGAAATGAATTTGGAAGCGATTGTTACAAATCATTTAATTATGTTTTTAATAAATGAGCTTATATTACACCATCACCTCATCATTTCATTCATTTTTTTATACCATTAGCGCCGGTATTCACAACAAGTTTGCATTATTTTTTAGTAAAAATTAAAACATGCATTCAATGGCAAGAATATCGCAATTTTTATCAAACAATACATATATATTTATTTGTATATATTGTTAGAAAGTGTGTCAGCAATTGACTGAAAATGAATACTTTTATTTACTTTACACAATAATTTGCGTTAAGGCATTGATAACGTAATATACATAATAATATTATTTGCATTTAATTGTGTGTTTATGTAATTGTAGTGACAATTAGAATAGAACTTTCAAACAGGTTTTGAAAGTATTAATAGGTTTGTTATCAATTGATTTGTTTAATTTACTCATTTCATTATAACAGTAACCTTATAATCAAACATCCAATGTATGCATAGTGTAGTGATATTCAGTATTTTAGTTCCTCCGATCGATACCATAAAGTAGATCATATAGTCTTCCAAATAAGCGATTCATATATTGTGTATATCAATGAATTTAAATTCCATTAATCAATGCCCTAATTAACCAATAGTTGATTCAATGTTTAATTCATTTCGTTTTTAAAGTTATAACTTTTATTAAACTATAAAACAATTTTTACAAAATGCTATCAAATATTACAAAATCATTTACAATATGTTTTTAATTTGGCAAAAAGAGTTGGTTTTAGAATTTAATGCTATTTTCAAACCTTAAATCTCAAAAAAGCAAATCATTAATAAATAGACAAATTTTGTTTCATTTGAATGAAAAGAGAGAGAAATGTTATATAAATGTTGAAAATAATTAAAAGAAATGTATATAAAAAGTAATGAATTTATGAATAAATGGATTCCGCCATAAAAGACATCTTTCGGGGCAAATATAGTGTGTCATCGAAATAAGCGGCCAATTCTTCGACCGACGCGTCGGCCGACGGGTGACTCGGACTTAGACTCGGGTCGCATAACGCCTGTCGGGCGCATGACTTATGCTCTTTGACCCGCATTTTCCTCACTTTATTTGTCTTCACTTTACTATTTATATTGTGTTCAGAACTGTTGGAACTGGTGGTCGACTTCTTGTCCTTAATGTCCGCAAACCTATGCCTCCATTCATTGGAATCGAGTTTAAAGTGTTTATTGAAATACAAGTAATTGTCGTTTTCAACGCTTTTGTCTGAATTCAGATTCAATTCCGAGAAATCACTACAAATTGTCGTGTCTTTGACCCTACACTCCGACTCCTCTTCTTTAGATCCCATTGTCTTCACGTCCGAAGAGTTTTGTCTCACTTTAATCGATGACAACGAGTGAGGCCTTTGGCGACGAAAACCATTAACCGATTGTCTCTTTTCGTGGCAACTGTTCCGTCAAATACAAGACAATTATAAATAACAAAATCAAACATTCAATGAGTAATTCATTCAATAATTCAAAACAAGACCTTATTTTCGGTGAATATGGACTCGATTTGAGTGCAAAGTAATTACAATTAGTGTTCAAATGATTATCACATTTGGATCTAATAGAAGAAGAAGTGGTCGCCTCTGGAGTGGATTCGTCCACTTTTAAGCGCTTAAAATCTCTTTGAACTTCACTTAAATTGATTGAAAAGCATTGGCTCTCATCTGTGGAGCACTTCATCTCCGGCTGACGGCTATTATCAGCCATAGTTTGTGCGGACAATGTCTTCAGTGGTGATGTTTTCGGTCTTTTAACTCACAATCAATTCAATGGACAATACATTAAAACAATTCACTGTTTATTAACGCATACATCAAGTCATCCAATGAATCGGACATTCATTATAAGCGCTCAGAATTTCTCTATCATTTCACTCATATTCCCACAAAGTTATGTCATTTTCCCGCATTTGAAGCACAAATCAATACTTTATATGTTTCCAAATGTTTCCAAATATTCCCTAATATTGCTAAAGATTCCTCAAAAACAGTATTTTCCAAACCTTCGTTAATATTACGTGTTTTGATGGTAGAGGTGTTCTCCATAAACATCTCTTCCGAGTAGAGGCGTTCATAATTAGCGTCTGTTTTATAGTAAACACAAGTTTTGAAATCAATTTTGATTTGAATTAAAGTATTATTTAAATTGAATTAACTTTTGGTTGAAATGACTGTCAATTGAATGGAAAGACAAACAATGGTTTGATTGGCGAAGAGATGGCAAACAATAGTTGTAATAAAGCGCTAGAATTGAGTGCGAAATACATATCGTTTGAATCGGTGTCCAAATCAGTGAATGTCTTCTACGATGAGGTGAATCAACACGTGTTTGTGGTCACCAACCGATGCGCCGGCGGTGTTGTTGTCAAAGCCATGGATCAGATGGTCACTCAATTCAGGTATACATCCATCGCATCCAAGTGTTGACGAGTTATGCACTAATCAATTGAATGGCTAGACTTGAAGACAAGGGCGACGTGTTGTCCATCAAGTTCTCGCCCGCCTGTGATGTGTTGGCCCTCCAGAGGACACCAAATACTGTTGAGTTCGTCAACTTCACCGACGGTCAGCCAAACAGCCATTACTCGCAGTCATCGAAGGTATGCGTTAATGATTTTGAAAAGTGGTTAAACTTATTATCGCTATTCAGACGAAGAACTGTAAAGTAATGGGTTTTATTTGGACCAATACTTACGAAATGGTTTTCGTAACCGATAATGGGATTGAGTTTTATCAAGTGATTTGTGATAAACGTTTGGTCAAATGCCTGAAGACATTCCCACTTTCTGTTGAGTGGTTTGTATACGAGGTTTGTTTCGATCAAAGTTTTTAAAACTAAACTTTTAAGCAATTAAATTGTTAATTGTTTTGACCAAAGCCTCAAACGTCGGTCCTATTGGTTGCTAACGGAACGTATGCTAATGTTATACAAGCCTTTCAATTCAGAGTAAATACTTTTTCATATTATAAATTATAATTTATAAAATGTAATTAATATATGATTTAATATGAAAGCCGAACACTGTTTATAAATTGTCTAAATTTGAAGTCGAGTGGACTATTAAGCAAAAGGCACCGAAAACTGGTCTATTTGAAAGAGATGTGGCCATCGCTTACATGTTAGCCATTGGTTATAATAATTGTTATTATAATTAATTATAATAATTGTATATTTGCTGACAGATATGGCAAAACTCGTCTATTAGTCCTAAAACATCAGCCAATCCTTAAGGAACAAAGTGGTGCTCATGTCGTGATTTACACATTTCTCAAGTAAACCACAACTTATGCTCTTTAATGAGGGGTTGACTTAATCGCCAATTATTTGATTAGAGATTCAGTGCCTCAGAAGACGGACGTTCTGTTGCTGCACCTGACGGGTCGGTTCGCTATCAATATAGTCGATGATTTAGTGATAGTCCACCACCAGACCAGTCAATCATCACTTGTTTTTGATATTAATCTACAATCAAATGAAATGATGGCAAACGTTAAGATTCATTACCCCATTGTCTCCAATTGTGCCATAAAAGCGTTTAAATTGGACGACAATATAGATTGCGAATTATGTAATTTAATACTCTTATATACCATCCAATAAACTCCAAACGGGAAATCAAATTTGACCGTTATTTTTACAGAAACCACTTTTATATGTAAACCTCTTTGAAATGTCAAGATTTAGTGAGAAAATCAGATTTAGTTCCCGATTGTTATTTATTGGATGATTACATAAATTATTATCTATTGTTATATATTATTATTTAATTATACGACAGATTCAACAAATTGGGTTATATTTCAACCAAATATTATAATCGACGCCAGACTCGGGTGTCTCTGGTTTTTACAAATAAATTTAAAACAATTTATTGAATTCATTCCCAATATTCCACTTTTGGTCGACTTTCTAATGTTTAGACGAAATTCTAAGACATGTTTACTTAACGTAATTAAAGACTCAATTAATGGTCGAAGTGAAGAAAGTTTAAGAAACCCTTTGGGAAATCTATCGCTAGTATTCAATAAAGTGAACTCCGCTTATAAAGAATCGCTCGTTGAAAACACGTTGAATCCAAACCATATAAACGACTCAAATAGGCTTAAGATGAAGACTATTGTGGAACAAACAGACGTCTTCTCCGACGTGTTCACTGTATTCGACGAACAAAATACTGTAAATCTATTATTTCTTACTATTAAATATATACTGTAATTAACTATTATTTGATTGCAGTGTTTGGACCAAAGTTTAATCGTTTCAATACTGTTTGAATACATATATTCATTATCCTTATATCAAATTCCGATTCAATATTTTGTGTACGAATTTTTGATAAGACATTTGGTGCGATCGGAACAGTACTACCAAATGCATCAATTCCTTCAGTATCATGTATTCACTGATTCCAAGCCATTAGCGTGTCTTTTGCTATCTCTTGGACCTAATTATAAATATGCGGTTCAATTGGCGTTAGATATGTTGAAAAGACTGACCACTGCTAACGAAGAGATCATTGAAGTGCTATTATCTCAATACCAATTGCCGCGAGCGCTCAGATTCATACAAAGTCACGGAAACATTGACAGCATATCTGCGCGAAAATTCCTCGAAATTGCTTACAATTCAAATGATATCAAACTTTTTTATTC